TATTTATAATAAGGATCCTACTATTTAGGGCACTATATTAGGGTCCCCTATTTTCAGAATCTACCATATAGCGGCCAAAATGATTAGACGACTGTTTGGGGGGTAATGTAGGGGCCTTCATAATTGGAATAAGGTTTTGGGGGCTCCTTGTTATAATTATAATATACCCCCAAACCCTATTCTAATTATTAAGGCCTCTACATTATGTTATAAAGTGTCTATACTTAGGACCCCGAAAGAATAGTACTGATTTGTAGAATTACAAACATCGGGCTTCTGCATTAACAGCAAACAGGGTGCGCACTAGGTCGTACTAGAAGGATAGGGGGACTTAGCAAATAGTTACGGTTTTGGGCTCAGCGGTTCTGATTCATTATGCACCCCAATTAGGATTCATTTCATGGTAATGTAGGGGCCTTAATAATTAGAATCGGGTTTTTAGGTATAGGATACAAGAATTATAATAAGGAAGCCCCAACATAGCATAGGCAATTATCATTCGGATTCCTTTCAGGGTACTTACGAGTCAAAGGTGGACCTGCCAAGCAAGGTCCTTCAAGTGAAACATTCCCGCGGAGTTACAAAAAGAAGAATCTGTATGTTAGGAAACTCCTAGCATTGGATGACCCTGACACCCTAAACCCTAATCCCTAAACCCTAAACCCTACACTATACACCGTGTAGAAGCCGCATAAGCCTGAATTTCAGCAGTGAGGGTTGCTGCTCCAGACCCTAAACCCTAAACCCTAAACCCTAAACCCTAAACCCTAAACCCTACAAAATCATATCCCACATTCCCTTGTTTTGTAAACCTAGGGGCTGGGTCCCCAAGCCCAAAAAACGATAACCGGTTTGGGTTTAGGGTTTAGGGTTTAGGGTTTAGGGTTTAGGGTTATTTAGTAGGAAAATATGAGGCAAAAAAGGCTAAAGATCACCTACTGAGCCCCCAAGTAAAGTTCTTCGGGTTCGTAAGAACAAGACGAGGGCCTACCATGGGCGACTCCACAACCAAAGCCCTTGCTAAGAGCCCCTGACAGGAACCCAGTTCTATTTATCCTGAACCCCAAACTACTCATCCCTGAACCCATCCCTAAACCCTAAACCCCAGACCCTAATCTCTAAACCTAAACCCCAGTCCTAAACCCTAAAAAACACCAATTCTATTTATGCTAACCCCCCCCAACCCCCAATCGGTAAACCCTGGACCCTAAACCCTAAACCCTAATCCCTGATACCTAAACCCTGATCCCTAAACCCTACGTAATCCCTAAACCCTAAACCCTAATCCCTAAACCCTAGTCCCTAAACCCTAATGCCTAAACCCTAAACGACACCCAGGTTCCTACATCAACCAGCCAGGGCTCGCCATGGGCTGCGGAGGTCCCATCTTGAATGCTTCCGGACCACGCGGGCCTCCGGTTTAGGGTTTAGGGTTTAGGGTTTAGGGTTTAGGATATCCTCGAGTTTCGGGCTTTAGGGGGCTTGGGAACTGGGGGTTTAAGGAGTTTAAGGGGGTTTAGGGCTTAGGATTAGGGGTTCAGGGGGTTTAGGGTTTGGGGTTTAGGATGGGGGGTGTAAGATTTAAGCTATTAGGGGCTATTAGGGGTTTAGGCTTTCGAGGTTCAGGGATTTAGGGCTGCTCCTGGGGTTTGGGGGTGTAGGGGCTTAGGGGTTAAAGAAGTTTCGGGTTTAGGGGGATAATATAAGGGCCGTAGTAATAGAATAATTTCGCAAAAGGAACCCCAAATAATTGTTGAGGCCTAAACCCTAAACCCTAATCCCTAAACCCCAAATCCTACACCCTGAACCCTGAACCCTGAACCCTAAACCCTCAACCCTGAACCCCTAACCCCCAAACCCGAAACCCCTAAACCTTAAACCCTGAACCCTAAACCCTAGATTTTCCCTCGAGGCGGCCTGAAGCTTAGGGTTCAGGGTTTAGGGTTTCAGGGTTAGGGCTTAGGGTGTAGCGGTTTAGGGCCTCAGGGTCTAGGGTTAAGGGTGTAGGGGTTTAGGGTTTAGGGTTGAGGGTGTAGGATTTGGGGTTCAGGGCTTAGGGTTCAGGGTTCAGGATTTGGGGTCTAGGGTTGAGGATTTATGGTGTAGGATTTGTGGTTTAGGGTTTAGGGTTTCTGATTTGGGGTTTAGGGTTTAGGATTTGGGGTTTGAGGTTTCGGGTTTAGGCTACTTGGAGGGTCGGGGGACTTGGCAAGTAGGGTTCCTTAAAGAACGATCCTTTGGATTCTATAAAGGGGAGGGTCGGGCGACTTAGTAAGTACTTGCCTGATAGACTTGTAAGTATCATAACCCCAATTAGGGTCTCTCTGAGGGTACTTATAAGTAGTCTACTTATCACCTAACTACTTACCTAAGTCCGCCGACCCTCCAAGTATAGTCCCAAGTTCCAAGTTTCTAGGATTGATGGAAACCCCTCCATGGGGCAGCCTCCGACTTGGCATTCTTCTTGTTAAAGTGCCCGAAGTCGGGGTATAGAAACCGGGGAATACATGAAACCCACCAAGTTCAAGAAGTCCTAGTCGTGAAGCCACGGAATTAAACGCAACGCCATTACACCTGAGGGTGATTTTTTTCAGAACGGAGTCTAAGCCCAAGAACTACCCAGAAGTGCCTTCTCAAGGAATATACCTGACCCACCATAGCCCCAGACACCAAACCCCTCAGAGAAAGCCCAACGGAAAACCCTGAACCGTAAACCACTGAACCACACGAGCCCGAAAACCTAAACCCTGCATGGAGGGTCGGTGGACTAAGTAAGTAGTCAATCTATAGACCCATAAGTATCATAACCCCAAATAGAGTCCCTTTGAGGTTACGTATAGGCCTACTGATTACCTACTGACTAAGTCCCCCGACCCTCCAAGTAAACCCAAAACCCTAAACCCCAACCCCCTAAACCTATACTTGGAGGATGTTGGGACTTAGTAAGTAGGGTTATAAGTACCTTATTTGCGGTTATAAGTAGTTAACAAGTATAGTTACCTTGTTTATAACCTCAGTTACTAAGTCCCATAATTCTTGAAGTAACCCCCTAAACCTATAGGCCCAAGGAGCCTGTGGGAGGCATTGAAGACCATGCTGGTGGGAAACCGATGGCAGGGCCAGACGCGCCAGGGGGCATGTGCTCGCCTTAGCTTGCTTGGAGGGTCGGGGACGGGTGTGGGGGTTTAGGGTTGAGGGTGTAGGATTTGGGGTTCAGGGTTTAGGGATCAGGGTTCAGGGTGTAGGATTTGGGGTTTAGGGCCTCAGGGTTCAGGGTTTAGGGTCTTAGCACGTGCTAATAGGTAGCAGACTTATACGTAGCCTAAAAAGGGACTCTAACTCGGGTTTAGGGTTTAGGGTTTAGGGTTTAGGGGATACTATAATGAATAAAGCCGGCAATAGGTAGTAGACTTATAAGTATCCTAAAAGAGACTCTAATTGGGGTTATGATACTTATGAGTAAACCCTAAACCGTGAACCCTAAACTGAACCCTAAACCCTCGACCCTAAACCCTAAATCGTGAACCCTAAACCCTAAACCCTAAACCGTGAACCCTAAACCCTAAACCGTAAACCCTAAACCGTGAACCCTAAACTAAGTCCCCCCGACCCTCCAAGTGCAGTCTGAGGTTTCGGGTTTCGGGTTTAGGGAGTTTAGGGTTTAGGGATTTTAGGGTTTAAGGAGTTTAGGGAGTTTAGGGTTTAGGGTTCAGGGATTAGGGTTTAGGGATTTTAGGGTTTAGGGTTTAGGGTTTAAGGTACAGGG